CCCCGCCAGCCCTGCTGGCTGGGGGATTCTGGGAGTTGAAGTCCACTCATCTTAAAGTGGCCAAGTTTGGACAACACTGCCTTAAGCTAAAAAATGGTTGGTTAGCTTGTAGTTCAATGTGCCATGTGCCCATAGCTATTTCACTGCTCTGGAACTGAAAATCACAGAAGGCACTGGGACTACGGTTTTGTCTTCCTTCCTTTGTTCTCTTTGTGAAAAAAAGTAACAGCTATATAGGGAGACTGCACATTGGCCTCCTCGATTCTGAAAGTAACATCCTATTAAAAGAATGATTTATTTATTTAGAGTACTTTATACAGAGTGAAATCCTACATAAAGTTATACAAATAGAAAAAGTTACTCTCAGGTAAGCAATTATCAGAGTCCAGCTAGGATTCTGGAAGTAAGGCTTACTAAGACTTACTAAGTGAACTTACTCAACAGAATTTACTTCTGAGTAAGCCTGTAGATAACAATTTCCTTCATATTAAAATAAGATGCAAATTTCTAAATCTGTAGTCTAGATTGGGAAGTTAAAAAAAAATGCAGTGGAAAACTGCCATGGGCCCAGGTTACCTGAGGAACCATCTTGTCACCATCACATTGACCCATCCCACCCAGTCCGGCAGGAAGGGTATGTTACCGACCACGTCGCTAGAGAGTTTCAACTGGTGGGGTCCAGGAGGGGAGCCTTTTCTGCCGTGGCTCCTGCCCTCTGGAATATCTTGCCCCCTGAGGTAAGAATGGCCCCCACTCTGCTGGCCTTCTGAAAGGGCATTAAGGCCTGGCTCTGCCAACTTGCATTGGGACCCAATGGGGGTTTGCAATGGGGGTTTGTGGCTAGTAGCCTGAGGATGCTCTCTCCACTTTTTTGGTTTGCATTGTAGTTTAGTTTAATTTGAACCTTTTGTAGCTTTTAGCTTATATATATATTTTAATAATTTTATAGTTTTTTATCCGTAATCCACCTAGAGTCACTTGTATAGTGAGATGGGTGGCATATATAAATTTGAAAAATAAATACATAAATAAAATAAAATAAAACTTATATACTGTTGCTAAAAAAGCAATATAGATCAAGAGTTTTCAAACTAGTTCAATATACAGAACCTGCTAGTTAAAAAAAAATTCCCAGAATTCCTGATTAAGAGGCAAAGCTCTAGTGACATAAAATTGGCTGAGTACTTTTTTTTTTTTTTGCCCATAGTCTACCATGGAATCCCTCAAGTTTTTGTGAATCCCTAGGATTCTGCAGAACATAGTTTGAAAAACCCTGACATAAATATGTCCACATATAGAATCATAGGGTTCAAAGGGACACTGGAGGTCTTCTACTCCAGCCTTCGGTTGGGCCTAGTCACCAGGGAGTCAAGCATGACTTAAGCAAGATCTCACCTAAGACCCAGGCAATTTTGACTGACAAGCAGTGCTTAGTTACAAGTGCTCAGAAACAGTACATCCATCCATCACGACACTGATTTCCTTATTCATCTATGCAATGCTGTGAGAAAGTATTGGAAAAGGAAATAACACATACCATTTTCAATAATTATTTTTAAAAACCTGTATTGGCCATTCCTAGCTCTGGCAAAGGTTTCTTTGACTTCCTCACTAGCTGAAAAAAAAGACAAAATAAAGGAAAAGATTAATGGATTTCAGGCATTTCAGTCTGGTTTATACCTATCCGTTTACTATATAAGATATGGCTGAAACACACCTGCATTTGACCAGCACTGTTAGGTAATTTTATACTACAAATGATGTCCTGTTCACATCAGAAATACTAAATAAACAAACTAGCATAATCAGAAGTACCATTTTATTTTGTGTGATTTACCCAAGTATGATATGAATCAAATCCACAAAGCAAACAACAACTTTGCTGCAATGTGTGCTGTGCCTTCAGCTGGGAGCACTGACAATAGCTAAGTCAACACAGCAAGATAAAAACACATTTTCCGATAGAAACTAGCATACAAAGAGTCACGTGAATGCTACTGAGTTACAATCAGGGCAACCTGATCTTGTTTCTAGAGGCTTATGGTCGCAGTTTAGAAAGCAGCAGGAGCCTGAATACAGTCCGGGAGAAATTCCCCTTTTCTTCATGAAAGACCTAAGGAAGGAGTTCCTTTCTCCGGGCAGCCCGTTAAAAGTGCCTAATCCTTATCCAGCTTCCAGAGGATGTCTTTAGTTGGAAACAGCAAAGATTGTTAAAATAACTGTGTTTTGCAGGTTTCTTTGCTTATCTACTTACCCAGCTGGTAGGGCATTCCTACTCTTCAGAGCTAAAACACATTCTCGAGATGGGGATAACAAAATGCATGTTCAGAACAGAGGGTTGTTTGTGAACCCTCATTTTTCTATCCTGGTTGGAATTTTCAATTTATACGCAGTACCTACTAATTCATTTTTTTTTTCATTGAGGTGTTTCTATTCCTTTTTCATATATAAGAAGTCTCACTAAATTTCTGCCACTGGCTTTGTTCAGCTGACTGTCCTACCAGCTGTTAACTATGGTTTTTGGAATTAACCCACTTTCTAATGTTGGCTCACATGTTGGCCATATACCAGGGCCTCCAAAGTGGTCAATATCAACCCCCCAGCATTGATGGGACTATCCAAGGGATCAATATTAGTAGTAGTAGCACTATTAGGTAAAGCAGTATTTATTAAATTATTTTCATATAATAAATGTTTGGGGATCAACGAACAGTCTGAAACTTCATGATGGGGTCGATGAGCTGAAGTGTTTGGCGGCCCCTGCCATAAACTAGCCACACAGGCTGGATTCACAAGTTCCTGTAAGCTAAACTATGACTCGCTAGTTGACGGTTCAGCCTCTCGCCGACTATTAGCAATTACTGGATTTCAGCAAGGTTTCCTTCCCGTGCAGGGCGATCGGACGGTAAATCCCGGAGCTGACTTCGTTTCCAATTCATACATATACACACACCCACACGCAGAGAGAAAATGAGGATGAGGTTAGCATTTTCCATATAAGGCGTTCTAGTCAAAGGCAAGCACGCGAGAGTTGAAGGTTGACCAGCGCGGTCCAAAACAGGCATTTTCCCTGAGGCGCTAATCGTTTGGCTTGAAAGCCTCCACTCGTCCGCGAGCAGGTGCGACTCCTAGGAGGCCACCGCAACTCGCCGCCGCCTACTCCGCCTCCTCTCAATCTCCTTCGCAACATCACCCTGGTGGCAATTCGGAGACGAGTCCCTCCACAAGCCCGTCGCTCCACGGCGCTGTGTGTGTTTGCTTTGAACAATAGCAAAAGCCCGTGTTGGACGGACTTTGGAACGATTCGATCACTTTATGGGCTCAGTAGCCAGTGCGAAGAGCTGAGAAAAGGGAGGACGTATAAAGCCTGTAAGCCAAGTCTCCTCTTCCTTGTCCGGAATTAAGTTTCTGACCTGGACTTCTCTTCCCCTATCGACAACACTGATCAGTAGCGCAAAGCACTCTGCATATACTCAGAGGCATTCCTCGCTTTCTTCTAAAAAGAAAGGCGCAAATTCCAGAGACGGGAATTGCACGTCTGTCTCGAGTGCGGGTGAATTAAATCTAAACGCCGGAAGTTTGGCCCCCCTCTCGCTGGTTCGGTTCCCCTCTAGTGGTCCCTGACAGAGCCCATCGGGTGCCAGGGGGAAGGGTTGCCGCCCCCTCCCCGCGGGGAACCCCCCCCCCCAAAAAGGAAGGAGAGAAACCCGAAGCCACGGATCTCCCCGAAAGATACCTTGGATGCCGGTCTGGTGGGACATGACTTCAGCAGCAGCAGCAGCTTCCTACACTGGCAACCCCGGGCAGCGGGCAAACTACGAGCCACCGCCAAGAGCCCGGACCGGCGCGGGACGCTCACGTGACGCCCCGCCACCACTCAGGCGCTCGCACGCCTTCGCCCGGCCGGCAGCGGCTCCCTCCGGCCGGAATTGCGCCGGGAGGCACGGGGGGCCCCGCCCCTTGCCGCTGCTGCATCCCAGCGCCGCTCGCTGGAAGAAAGGGGAGGCACGAGGCTCGTCTCGCAACGTTTCTTCACGTGTTAGCGAGCGATCCCGGACGCGCTGAGCTCCAGGTCAGCTCCCCTGGCTTTGATTCATCTCGTTCCCAAGAACTCTTCGTAGGGTTGCAGGCAGCCAACGTAATCCTAGTCTAGACCAGTTCA